CAAATGAAGAATTTCAAAGCGTTTAATCTTATTAATTTGTTTGTTTGTTTTGCTCCTCTCAAGTCTCAATGAATGTTTGAGGTTTTTTTGCAGATTTTACCTCCTGATTTCTGATTTTTTTTGTTCATTGTAAATAATTTGCTGGTTCTGTTTCGTTTGATTACATGAGTGGAATTCAATTTTGTTTAATAAAAAGTTTTTGTCATTTGAATGATTAATAACTCTTGGGCAATTGTAGATTTTTCTCTTTGTATGAGTTCGAGATAATAACCAAACCAAGGTCACAACGTGGAACAGTAGCTAAAATTAAACCCCATGTAGATACATTACAATTCCTTATGTTTCAAAATAAATATCTTTTTAGATTTTAATGTAAATGTTGTCATAAAATATATAATTTACCTCAAAGTCTAAGTTATTATAGAACAATATACCAAATAAACATAAGGAATTGTAAAGTTTCAAAAACAAAAACAAAAACATAAGGAATTGTAAAAAGTAATATACTTTAAAATTTTATGTCAAAATGTCAAAAAGATACTTATTCAGAAACAAAAATAATATTGGGTGAATTGCAAAAATAATTTTAAAAAAAATTAATAATTAGAAAAATAGTAAAATTAGTATATGTGGCAACATATTAACTTTTGGATTTAGGTTAAATGGTTAGGGATTCTATTAATTTTTTTTATAGCTATTGCATGCAATTTTCCAATAATATTACATAAAATGTGGAGAAAACTCGAGAATCCAGAGTTAATACTATACCATGTTTTACGAAGTTTCACTTTTACCGCAAGATTTAACAGAAAATATATTAGATAAATATTGAAAACAAAAATTGCAATTTTATTTGAACGATTGATAAGAGCATTACTGTATATGAATAAGGCCACAGTTTTGCTGTACGTCTTAGCTGGAGTGACTGACATGAAATAGACAAAATTAACGGTGTGGTCCAAAGAGGTATATGTGTTTCATTTACGTACGTTCACTTGTTTAGAGGATAAATTATGTGTGTCCACAAAAGGTATAGAAATGAATCTTCTTACTAATTTAGTCGGCTCGATTGTATATGGGGCAATTACAAAAGTGCCATATTTTGTGTGCATATTTGCAAGAATACCAATTAGGGGTGTCCATTTATAAAAATGCCACTAATTATATATTTATAAAGCCTATATCTTAAAATTCTAAACCCTAAAAAATGTTTTGACACCTAAAACTCTCTAAACACTCAAAACTAAACCCTAATAGAACATAATTAACTCAAACATAAATAATATAAAGAAAAAATAATTTTGAAAAAGTGTCATTTTTGTAAAGATTTCAAAAGTGTGACATTTTTGTAAAGTGGCACTTGAAAAGTGGCATTTTTGTAAAGTGACACTTGAAAAGTGCCATTTTTTTAAATTTCTCTTGTATATATTCGAGTTTCTTTTACTTCGATTCTATTTAAATCATTTTTTTGGAGCCATAAAATAACGGTTTTGTGATTTTTTTTTTTTGTTTTTACAAGTTTTGAATATATAGATGGTTTCTGAATTTTGATTCAAAATATATAGATGGTTCATGGTTAATAGCAAATGTTTGTTTGGGACAATTGTAAAAAAAAAAATTTTGTTGTGTCCATTTTCAAAAATGCTATTATGGGTTGTTAATTTTCGAAAATATCACTAATTAATGATTT